TTCGTCCCACCCCCCCCCCCACCCCACCCCCCCACCCTCCTCTTTCCAATGCCTTTGTTCATATCCATACACCACACAACATTGATCAACAGAAACCGAAAGGAGCAGCCTTATCTTCCAAAAGAATATGAACTTTTTCACTTTCTGGAAATATCCTCACTAAAGGGTAGGGGTGGGCATATATCGGGTAAAATCGATAATCCGAACCGTTAATTATTTATTGGATTATCGGTATTGGGTTATTGGGTTAACGGTTCGGTAAGGGGTTAAATTTTTTTTTTTTATTGGGTTATCGGTTCGGGCTCGGTTTGGCAATTCTGTTATTGGTAAAACCAATAACCCAATAAGGATTAACTAATTACTAGTTTACCCTTAAGTATATACATACTAGGGTTTCATACTTCATAGTTCACTCTTTGATTTCCCTATTCTTTCTCAGTTTCTCCGCCTCACGCCCTCACCGGTCAGCCCGTCAAGGCAGGCCGGCGTCAGTCGCATCACGCCCTCACCAGTTAGCCCGTCAAGGCAGGCCGGCGTCAGTTGCATCACGCCCTCACCAGTTAGCCCGTCAAGACTCAGGCCGGCGTCAGTCGCATTTCTCAGCTTCTTTCTTTCACTCTTCAGTCGCATCTTCACTTCATTTCTCAGATCCATCAGATTCTTCAGCCGCATCTTCTTCACTCTTCAGTCGCATTTCTCAGCCGTATTCTTCAGCTTCATCTTGATTCTTCGTGTAAGTTTTTAGTTGCTTCATCTTCATCTTTTTCTTAGTTTGTTTGAAAGCATTCTGGCTCTGGATTTTTCTTAGTTTGTTTGAAAGTTGAAGTGAGATTTTTCGTGTGCTTTAATTGTTGAGCTGTTACAAAGTTATCTTGTGCAGTTGTTATAAAATTTGTATTTCATAACTAATAAACTTGTTAATCTATGTACATAATTCTGTACTAGAGTAAAAAAGTAGGTATCAATGTACAAAGAGTTACTGCTAGTCGTTTGAACAAAGAAGAAAGTGTCGAAGTGAAAATATGACTGATATTCTGTTTTTTCGTCACTGACTGATATTAGGATTTTTGTTTATATTTTTTGGGTTGAAGAATGAAAGATAGAAACTTTGTTTAGTGTTTATTTTATTGGATGTTGCAGTAAATTTAAATTCTTGTGAAATAGAACAGTTCTGAAAAGAGTTTTAGCAAAACAGTTCTTAAGATCTTTTTTTTGAGAATGGTAACATAGAACAGTTCTTAAAATCTTATAAAATTGTTTTAGCAAAACAGTTTTATACCTAAACTGTTTTATACATTGCGAAATTGTTTTAGTTGTTTTATCTTATTGGGTAAACCGATAACCGAATCGATAATGATCGATAACCGATTGACCGATAACCGATAACCAATATCTTATCGGTTTGATTATCGGGTTATGATATTTGTAAACCGATAACCGATAGGTAAAACCAATAATATTCATAACCGAACCGAACCGACCGATGCCCACCCCTGCTAAAGGGTTACTCTTCCTCTCTTTTTCCCCCCACAGGGATTACTCTATTCTGTTTTTTCTTAACATATTTAAGGGTTACTTTTAATGCAAAGATAATAAAGGGTGCGAATTCAAATCTATAAAGTCCCCCAATCCTATGGCTAGATCACTAGAGAAAGAAGATTCTTACCAAATGGAAGTAAAGAGACTTTGAAGATTCTTGAAATTAAGACAATTTAATTTCAAAGGTCTAGGTTGAGGAAGCATTGGTGACTCTAGAAAAACTATTTTTCAATGGAGCAGGAATCTTTAAGAAGGATAGGCAGATTTCCTACAATTGAAAGGAGGTTCTTGGCCATAGGCATTGGACTTCTGGCTGTTCTCTCTCCTCTATACATTGACAATAGAAAAAACACTACTGAACCCCACCTTGAAGAACAAACCATCAACTTCCTTCCTTATCTTCCACTTCTTTTCTTGATCACTCTTATCATGAGCATAAGTATTTCTCACCAATTGGCTCGGTTCTCCTCGTATGATCACAGGCTTCTGGCCATAGGTCTTACACTTGTTGCCATAGTCTCACCTTTGTACGTCGACAGGAGAAAGGTAGTCGATCCAGAGCTTGAAGAGCAATCACTTAGCATCTCTTCTTGTTTGCCATTGCTAATGTTGTTTCTCATCATTGCCATTGCTATGTCATGCTACTTGGACGGGAGCTTTACCAGGTTCGATCCTTACTGGATTCATAGGGTTGGTGGTTCTTCCACTGGGATTCTCATTCTTCTGCTTGTTCTTGCATTTGTTTTGAAGTTTAAAGCTCTGTAGCATGAATAACAGAGGGTCTAAAGATATGTACCTTATATCCTTATGTTCAAGTGTTGTTCATGTGTGGTTTGAAAAGGGAGGAAAAAGAAAAGAGAGTTTGGATTCAAGCATTAGAACATTGAAGTGAATACCAACTCAAAGACTTGATTTCACCATTGCAGTTCTTTACTGCAAGGAGATAAGCAATCCTGAATTTGATGGTTGCAACATCCATTAGATAATTCAAGATTTCATAACCTGATTTGATAGTTTTTCAAGCACATAATACATTCAAAAGTGAGCACCAAGTAGATAATGATGACAAGAAAGAACGACCATCCATTAATTAGCAGTAAGGACATTGTTGTTACAGTAATCAACTCGGTGTATTCTATGATCAGAAAGAAGCTAAAATGTTGAGGACAAGAGAGATGCTGCTATAAAAGCATATTTTGGCAACAATTTACATTTGTAGCTATCATGTATGACCTGTAAAGTAAAATCTATCTCAAAAATAAGGAAGAAGAGGCTGTTCCAAAAAAAAGATTAAAAAAGGCAATTTCTTTTTGTTCCAACGAGTGCTATTCTGTGAATGAGGAATCTCTAGACGTCAGTAGTGGTGAATACTTCAACAGAACTTCCACGCCATCAAACCTACTAATCATATCTAATATCGGATTCACACTCAATCCAATGATCTGCACTACTGTGTTTGAGTGGCCATTGATGAATACATCTGTTATCTGCAAGAAAAAGCAAAATTTTGCGAAGTACTGAACACTCTGATTCTTAATATCTCATTCCAGTTTTACACTCAGCAAAACTTCAGAAAAAAGAGTCAAATATGATAATCACATTAAATCAGAAAAGATGAGATGACAATAAAAATGAAGAACACACAAGACAGAACTGGATGAGGTAAGAAACAATGCATGACAAGTTTTGTTCATAGAACTACCACCTCTTTTTTAATCTGTTCTTTATCCCTTTCACTTGTGTAAGGTATATCAGATGTATCATGATTGCAAAAAGGGGCAACTGGCCAAAATTGATAAGATGCTAACTGGCTTCTACAAAAACGTTGATTAAGACATTACGATTGTGGTCATGGAAGTCTAGATCACCGAATATCCAACTACTTCTCTCTAAAAAGATTAGCTCAAAAAACATTTGGCACTTAAGCGGCAAAAAAAAAAAAGACATCATGAAGGTAGCAACTCCAAAGAACTAGATAAAATCCCAATGTTATTAAAATTAGTCTAAATCCCAATATCATACTAGTGAAACCATTGCGACCATGATAAATGAGCGAGAAGCTGATACATGAAACTGATACTGCGCCTAGTTGTTTGAGTAATAATGACACAAGGATCAACCGTATCTCCGTGTCACTTTGTCAACCACATTATTTACAAGTGTTCGCTGTTACAGTTTATAAGGTCAAAAAAAAGTAGAAAGGAAAGATGAGGCATTATATGAACCCGTGTAATTATTTTGAGATCTAGCTACTCATGGCTCCTAATCTCATGCAGCATAAGCTGGAGTTAAAACTCTACAAAGGAATCCTAACAAAATCGCATAAAGACTGAGATTTTACGAATCAACTAGTTGGAACAGAAACCTAGGCAGAAAGAGCAAATCAATTTAGTGAACTCAGAGAAGGTTGTTCCGCCAATTGAATCCCTGAACCATTTCTTGTTATATTGTTATAGCAGTACAGTAGTGTATATTGCATGGATATGAGCCAACAAAATGATAATGTGTATGAAATAGCTAAACACTTAAAAATACCACAAATATTGAGTTGCACATGTATACCTGTGTGCAGCCAAAGAGTTTGAGCAGCTTGAGCGACAAGCAGCTGTCTACAATCAGTCCTAGCTCTTCGTCAGTTATTCTACGACACCATGATAGGTCCAAATGCAGTAGCTTTCTTGAAATTTTGGCTAGTGAGAATGCAGTGTTGGTGCTAACCTGTCAAAGATCTCCACCAGTCACTAACAAAGCAAATAGTACCAAAAAGAAGCCAGCAATTTTTTTAGGGCAAAAGGCAATCAATATGTCTTTTCCTGCTCTTTTACCAATTCCCCAAAAGGAACTGCGCTCTCTCTCTCTCTCTCTCTCTATCTATCTATCTATCTATAACTCTCTACAGAGATAATGATGCTATGATTATCTTATTCATCTATTCATTTATTATTTGATTAAGAGTCCAGGCTAACCTGACACAACCATATTGTAAGAGAAGACCACAGATGGGCAAAATGCTTGACCTATTAACAACCTCAATAAAAATATGCTACAGATCATATCCTAGTTATAAGTTATAACTAAAAGTAGAGGGCAACTGCAACACAAAGCAAATTATGAGCGAGATTATCATCGGACTCTTAAATTCAGGCCAATGGCTAAATTTTAGGTACAAAGTCAGGAATTACTAGAATCTACTCCGTAGCTCAACAACTGATAAGAAACTAGGAATAACACTGCGCTTAATACGCATATTTGAGCTATGTTGCGCGGACTCTCCAAAATATAGCCGCACCCGTGTCGGATTCTTCAAAAATGCACTACTTTTGGAGGATCCGACACGTATCCGGCCACATTTTCAGAGAGCCCGAGCAACATAGTATTTGAGAGCAGAATAGATACTCCCGCATGATTATGTATACCTTAGAGCAATTATTCAGCGAAAGATCTTCCAAACACGCTCCAGAAGCTTCCAGAAATGCAGCAATACCTTCATCACTAACATGCAAATTGTATATTAGACTGAAACTTGCATAACAAAGAAAATCACAAAATGAAGCTGCCAACAGAATTTAGATCATCCGTACAACTACAAGAACTGCCACAATGCACCAAAATTACATTAAATGCTCTCCTATGTCGGAAACAAACAGTACAGTTTCTGCTGGTACTTCAAGAAAATATAGCCAGCAACTCTTCAAGTAATCCATTGGATCAAATATCAGATATAACAGTATCATGATGACACAATATATCACTTAGAATAGTCATCATAATACTAACTTTTTAAGATATACAGTCATGTGTCATGGAGTCAATTCACCGGGTATAACCATGATAACGGAGTGAATTACTAGTTCACTCATAGTTGATGTTACTGCAAAAGGGGGAGCAAATAAACCACAAAGTGGCATATAGAATACAAAATGGGAACAGATAAACCTTATATTGATGACTGAGGAATCTGCCTGGGGCAAATCTTTAGGACCAACCGCAGCCCCTAAAACTCGCAGATAATGGGCCGCCCATCTACCCTTCTCCACTTACAATCACTCAACTTTTGCCGCTTGAAGTAAGCCCTTTACACTTATCTATTAAGTGGTAATTAATATGGACGCATAATATGGTCAACTTAATAACTAAGTCCAGGGACCTTTCACTTGGACCTCTCTCATACAATCATTCTCTTGGCCACTGGAAAAAGCTAAGTGTCTCTCACTTTTCACCATTACATTGATCACAAGAAAGTCCAAAAGGAATTCATCAAAGCTAAACATAGGATAATAATGAGTTGTGCTCAACCTTAATTGCTTAACAGCAACCCCAACTTCCCAACGGAGTGTCCGAACAAAGAACTAACTAGGTTAATTTCAATAGCAATGACAGAATGTAACACTGGCATGGATTCCAGATGTCCGAAGGAGCATGTGTAAAAGACCCCCCAAGATAGCACTACCTCTGTGCTGAAACCAATCTCTTCCTTCTCAGCGGTCAGCTCTCTATCTGAGCTTCACTACTTTAAAGGCTTAAGAGGTTTCTGACAATCATGATGCAAGTCAAACGCCGCTGGGTAGACATGTTCAATATATCATGTCGACTACTTGTCTGCAGGACAATCTACATATGTCCCACACAACACATGACTGCAGCAAGTCAAAGTATGGTAAATTTCAGGACACTGATTTCTTCTTGGTTTCCTTCCTTAAAGGTAAATTCCAATTTCTCTGAAGAGCTTTTAAAGATGCTTCTGATATCGAAAAAAGAAAGAAAAAACAACATGATCCACAAATATGTATTAAAGAAGTAAATTGATGGCCACAATACCAAAATACTATTTCTTGTTTTGTTCTAAGCTTATCTGATATAGAAGTAACATCTAAAAGTTGCTACTCATTTTTATTTTTATTCCTTTTAGGAGTGTGGGGACAGAGAGAACTTGATTTGTGGTGACTTAGTAAAATGCTCGCTGACAAAAGCTTAGTGAAGGAGCCATCACTATTTCATCAAATATAGCAGCATAATTGAAATTTCAAGAAGCAAACTGGATATCAGGACCAAACCTGAAACTATTACGGCAAAGTTTGAGTCTTCGAATTGATCGACAACCATTTGCAAGAAATTGTAGTCCCACATCTGTCAATTTCTTCAAGTTTGAAATGTTTAATGAATGCAAATTAGCACATGTATCTCCAATGAACTTCAGAGATTGATCTGTCAGATTCCTGCATCCAGAATAAATGAGGTCAAAAGACTAAATTAAAATATAAATGCTATGAGCCTTTAACCATTTAAATATTAACCAACTGTGCCATTGTAAACAAGATGTGGAAGTAATATGTACTTACTGGCAGTCAGCAAAATCAAGCTCTTTGAAATTTTGAGCATGTGGTGTAAGTAACTCACTTACAAACTGATCACATACGCTATGATTTCCAGCTACTGACAACACTTCCAAGTGCTCCAACTTCTCCAGTGCACGTAATATAAGCATCGCATCTATGCTCTCACAGACATCTATATAGAGCTCCTTGAGCATTGATCCCAACGAGTTGGCTGCAATATCAATACTAGTGTGGGTCAAAAGGGAGCACTGACCCAAATCAATGGATTGTAGAGAAGGTGCTGATGTGACAAGTATTTCCATCGCTTTATCAGACATCCGACAGGCACCCCTCAGCGACAAGATGGCTAAATTAGGCAAGCTATTCGAAGCCGGAGCTATGGTTTTACCCAACACAAGATCAAGTGTAGGTTGTCCACATAGATCTAGTTGAAGCACCTGCTTCCACGCCATATAGGTATAAATTATATCAGCTTCCAGAATCATCAAAGTTAGTAATAGCAGTAGTAGTAACGACAATAAAAGCAACAATTTTGTATATAATATCATCTCCCAGAGACTAGGTAGAAAGAAGAAAGTAGAAAAAAAAAATATGCAGACTGATAAAACAACATAAGTGAAAATAAAGGCTCACTTGGAAATGCACGAGTTCACACTTCAAAAAATTTCAGTAAGCATGAGGATGTCAACTTGAAAAGTAAACTTCTACCAAAATCATATATATATCAGCAGAGAAAAAAAAGCCTAAATCCTGGGCTACATGTGTTGATATATATACATCATTGCTTTTGGGTTACAGTGAGCTACATCACACATGCTTTTCTCGATTTATCTCCTTTTAAGAATAATGAGAAATAATGTACTATCTCTCTTTACCTCAAAAAGAAAAAATAATGGAGCTTAACAAGGTCATTATATGGAAAAACTGCTCGGCCAACTCTTTTAGTGTCCACACTCCACCGGAAAAGATTCTTCATAAAGGTTCAACTAACCACTTCACCAACTAAGCTAACTTCTACATTGAAATTTACTGCAGCCCTCCATGTTGCAATAAGAACTCGGCATTACTGGGAGAAGATAGTATAAAACTTGACTGAGGCAGTAGCCGTGTCAACTCTTTAACACTCACAGGAGGAAGGCACAAAAGTGTTGCTTCAATTATTAATCAAGCATAAAGGACTAGGGCCAGCCCCTCTGGACCTCAATACAGTTGCTAAAGAAGAGGATGAGGAAAACATGCAGGACTACCCAATGAACAAAGGTATTATTACATATGCACCAAACGGGGCACCCTATACAGATAAGACAAAAATAGCCTATTGTAAACACGTTTGCTAAAGATCTGAAGCCCTCTTCCCTCTGCCATCCCTACACGTCAGCACAAACAGAAGGATTTTTACAAATTCATACAATAACAAAGTATTCAGAAAACAGGCGTACATACCATCTAAAACAAAAGTATATACCAACTAGGGAACTCAGTTTAAAGCAGAAGTAAAAGCTCAGCAGCTATTAATCATGCAAATGACACCAAATGCCTCCTCCTCTAAATGAGTTCATACACCCATGATGAATTGTCAGCCAACCCTCTCAATTCAAATAGAAGAATTTTTGTGAATCTATAAAATTATAAATTTTTTTAGATTTACAAGCGTAGGAAACATTAAAAACAAAAGTACATACCAACCCGAAAACACAATAAAAAGCAAAGCAAGAGCTCGGCAGATATTTATCATCAGATGGCACTATTTTGTTGTTCTACTTGCATGCTCTGTTAGACCTATACCGACCTCTGCGTCTAATAGTGGAAGAAAAGTTTGTATATCAACTGAAAAGCAACTCTTAACACTACGAATTATCTACTGTTTCTTGTCCCCTGTGGTTGGAAACTTATGCCATTCAGGTAGTAGAAAGAATGAATGTGTTGCTAAATATCCTTGCATCCTTGACTGCTGCTTTAGTTTTGTCCTAGCCTTATTGGTGGCTATAAGAAGCCTCACAAAGGTTGTAAATGCATGTAACAATAGGATTACTCCAATTATCCAACTGTATAATACTACAAATCACACTCTAACTCTACCTTCTAGTACCCTAATCATAATTTGGCAGAAATATTTCAGAGAATAACATATGCCATATTGACAGAGAACAAATAAACTAATACTTAAAATGAACAAGTATAGATTACCATCAAGTTTCTTCTATCAAAGTCTCCAAATGATTTGCAAAAATCCTCTTCTGTTAACCACGAAGAGTCCTTTATACAAATTTGCGTTGGTGATCCTTCAACAAGAAGGTCCAACATATGAGAATTCATTTTCCTGGAATGGCAGAGCAATTCAGTCAATCTTCGTCTCAAGATATCAGGGACACCTTTGAGCGAAACTATTGCTTCAGAATTTTCTGCAAGGGCTTTCAAGGAAAGATCTATCAGTGAAGGAATCACACGAGGAAAACTTTTATTCTCAGGGTGTCGAGATGCTTCCCATCTAACCAATTTCTCATCCTTTCGTCGAGGTATACGCCCCGTAATATTCTTCAGTGCAGTAGAAAAGGGATTGGGGGTGTTTCCCAGATCTTTAACAGTTCCCAAAGTTGGTAATTTCTTTTCCTGACTAGAAGACCCTTCACGCGGAGCATCATAGCGTGCAAAGCGATGAGCCTTTTTCCTTAATGCAATTGCATCTCTTTCTGCACGTTCAGCCATAAACCTTCTTCTAATGTCAAAATTTTCAAGAGGTAACACGTCAACATTTTGTCTAGGCTGGACGGATCCTAACTGTAGCACTGCTGGAGCAGCCTGCTCCTCCTCCAGCTTCCTGTGTTGCAAGTCCAACTCCATTGGCGAGGTTGCAAGTGACAACCAAGGCTTTTCAGCCTTAGCCTTTCCCTTTTCTTCTCTGGTGTATCTCCTCTCACCACCCAATGAACTACTTCCACCAATATCCTGGTCCTTGTCCATCACTCCAAACTCAATTTTGAAATTTCCAGCAGCATCATTAGGCGTTATTTCCTCAATTTGCTTCGCATTTCCCTTGTCTCTTCCCTTATTAACTCTTTCCTCTGCATGATCACTGTCATCAGACCTGATCTCATTTAATTCAACAGTGCTCTGAGTATACTCCTGCAGACCAACTAAAGTACTCCCATCACCCGCTTCCCAAACTGGAATATTAAGATCAAATCCCAATTCATTTCCCCCGATACCATTCCCTAGGTTCCCATTTAACACTTGAATACCATTGTGAGACTCTTCAACTAAACCGAAAAGTCCACTTTCTTGGCACCCAACAGTGAATTCTCCAGCATCCACTGCCCCATTCTTACCTATATGCCCAATACTTCCATCAAATTTCCCGCAAACCGCGCTTTCAGTTTTACCCTCTAGAGGCTCTAAAGTAAAATTCTCATCAATGTCTTTGAGAGAACCAAAAATTTCATCAACTTCTTCAACACGCCTAACTTTTTTAACCACTGGGCTCCCTTCCACACCACCACTAACCCTCTTCATCCCAATCCCATCACTCAAATTCAAGCCCTCCCCATTTCTTTGATTCCCACTCAATGGCTCCATCCCAACCCCATCACTCAAATTCATACCCTCTCCCCCATTTCTTTGATTCCCACCCAATGCCTCCATCACAAACCAACACAGAAAATCAAAAATCCCAAAACCCAAAAGTTCAATCAAACCCAAAACCCCAGAAATTCAAGGGTTTTGATCAGATAAAAGTACAGACAACAAATTATCAACAAAAATTCAACTATAAAATTGCCAATTCAAACTCACACAAAAAGAATCAAGAAACAAGAGAGAATCAAGAACATCATACAAAAAGGATGATTATTGTGTTGAGAAATGGGGGTATTTATATTAATATAATGGTGAGAAGTAAGTAGTTGAAGTGTGAACAATAGCAAATGCACTTTAACTTTAAGTAAGTAATATATTCTGTAGAATCCTATTAACAATTGTCATTTGAGGAAGATTATTGTATTGAGTTGCAGATAATTGTTGAAAGTTTTATACATATCGATAAAACCAAGAAATTTACAAAGCAATTTCCTCGCAAAGGAAAAAAAGTCGTCTTCCATTGTTAGACCAGGGCGCGTTGATAAAGCTCTTTCCGCCTTTACTATATATACGTTTTTGTTGTACGTACGTACTATTTTTTTTTTTATTACAAAAATACACAAATTACTCCGTACTATTAGCAGTAGATTAATTAATTATTTTTTTCTGGGATTAAATAATATGAAACGTGTTCAAATTTGAAATTATTTTCGAGAAAGATTGTTTGAGATTTTTATTAATCCAATATAAAAGTGACTATAGTAATTTGAGGAAAAAAGAACTATACTTTTGAACACTAATTTTTGGAGCATGTAACTATATACTTATAGTGTATGGAGAAAATATTACGAGCGTGTAACCACGTAAACATAGTGCGTCTAGTGATTCTCATTTTACTCTATATCTAATTAAAGAACAAAATTGAAAGTGGCCAGCGCCAGATAAGAGAGTCAAGAATAACGAATTAGTTGGTGCAACCAGATCAGAAAGTCAAACTTATAAATATTTTAAATCTATACATATATTACACTAGATTCACTTTTGTGTTATGTGTAACTGTAGTATGTATTGCGCTTGAAGATAATATCAGGAAAACAATATCTACGCATACCACATTTATCAGTTTAGTAAATTTAACTATAGAAGGAATATTAAGCACAATCTAATATGAGGATTTTATATGTATTAAATAAATTGAGTCTAGAAAATATTGGCAGATAAATATTATTTTTATTAATTTAAATACTTATTATAGTATGATTTAAAGTATTTAAGTATAAATTTGAATGCATTAGCTTTTTCATTTTTGTATACTTTATTTATCATCACGTGCAAATTACGTGTTAATCTCACGCAATATTATTTTCATAAAGTTGATTAAGAATGTTAGTAGTCCTATAAAAGGAATTAGAGCAATTTGAGGAAAAAAATTATACTAGTGTACTAATTTTAGGAGCATGTAACTATATATATGTAGTGTATGAAAACAATATCACGATTGTGTAATCACGTATATACATTACGTCTAGAGATTTTCATTGTGCCCTTGTGTCTAATTAAAGGAAAAATAAAGGTGATTGAAGCCAGATTAAAGAGTCAAAAATTACTAATTAGTTAGTGAAGCAATATCAGAGAGTAAAAAGTAATTGGTTAGTTGGTGAAGCCAGATCATAAAGTAAAAAATAATTGGTTAGTTGGTGAAGCAGAAAGTCACTAATCACAAATAATTCAAAATTTTAAGCATATTGCACTAGTTTCACATCCTGCGTCATATATGTTAACATTACCGGTTGTTCACATAATGAAAAATAAATTTGCACCCATGCATTTATCAGTTTAGCAAATATAAATACAAAAAGAACATTAGACACAATCTAATGTCAAGATCTTATTTTTATTAAATGATTGAAATTTAGAGAAAAACTAATAAGTTATCACGTTTTTTATGAAATTGATTTGAATCCTTAATATGAAATTTAAAGTGCTTTAATCTAAATTTGAAAATGCATTAAATTTTCTATTCCTATACTTTATTTCGTGTTTCGAGTAAATTAAATGTTAATTAATCATGACTATAAAGTAAAGTATATTTATTGTGGACTATTTTTAATAAGTGTGTAACTGTTGAGAGAAAATTCTCTATGATTATTTGGGCAACAACAGTTGAAATTAAAATGGCAAACAATATAGATAAACACTAAAGACAAGAAAATATATTGAAAAAGAAAATATTAGGATTTTATCTTGATTTTTTTAATTTGAATTTTACCTTTTCTTGAATAAAGGAAAATAGTTTACTATAATTGATTTTACTTTTCCTAAAAGAAAAATATAGATCTCTACCATATTTGACTAATATTTTTCTTGAAGGAGAAATTTTACACTTTTATAAATTGTGACTCATCCATTCACACAACAACACAATATTATCCACAATAGTCTTGTTTAGGGGGAGATAATTCTCTCAATAATTTTTATATTAGTTTTATCATATATAGGTCAATTGACTAAACTATATCAAAGTATTATGCTTCTTTTAGTTTATTTTTCTTTGTTATCCGATTTATTGTCGTCAAGGTTTACTTTGTTAGCTTCCGTATGACGCCTTGTTAATTTCGATCCCAACAAGTGGTATCAGAGCTAATGGTTCAACGAGGTTGAAGACAAGTTCAAGGCGGGTCAGGTTAAGTTGCAATCAATTTTACAATAATAAAGATTTCTTCACCAAAAAAAAATTAGCCTGAAATACTACATGTGGAGATAAGTTTTCAACAATATTTTCAAAAATCATGCTGCTACATATAAAAGATAAAAAGTATTCTTAACCCATGCTTATGGGTCCAATTTTCAACTCATGCTTACTTTTAATGTATTGGTTCTACTTTCAACACCTGCTTACTTTTAACGCATGAACTCCAATTTTAACTCATGCTTACTTTTGACACACAAACTCTCACTTTTGGCATAGTCACTTTTAATATAGGGCTTCAATATTTTTAACCGTTGCTCACTCTTTATGCACGTGGCTTTATTTTTCAACCAATACCCACTTTTAATCATGGTAAGCACTAGTGGTGAAGATTATGTGAAGAATGTGGATCAAGATTATCAAGAAAATTCTGCTCAAAATGGGAGAATTGTTAGGATTTTTTCCTGTTTCTTTTTCATATTTGAATTTTACCTTTTATTGAAGAAACGAAAAATAGTTTACCATAATTGATTTTACTTTTCCTAAAAGAAAAATGTAGATCTCTACCGTATTTGACTAATACTTTTCTTGGAAGAGAAGTTTTGTCCTTCTATAAATTGAGCATTCCTCCTTCACACAATAACAAAATAACATCCACAATGTAGCCATCATAATAGTCTTGTTTAAGGGGAGATTATTCTCTCAATCGTTTTTATATTTTCTTTTATATTAGTTTTACATATGTATCATTTGACTAAACTATATTAAAATATTATGCTTCTTTTAGTTTATTTTTCTTTGTTATATGATTTATCGTATCCACTGTTTACTTTGTTAGCTTCCGCATGACGCTTTGTTACTTTCGATCCCAACAGAAAGAACATATAATTTCATTCACGGTCGTCCAATGCTTCCTTCGAATAGCTTAATCCCAAACTAATTTTAGAAAGCTTAAATATTAAGACAATACCATAAAGGTTTCAAATAAAAGAGATGAAGTCTAATTGTATTGTTAGTCGATAGTTCATAAGTGATCTGAACATACATACATATATACATATATATATATATACTAGTCTATATGAACATGCGTTGCACGTTAAAAGTTGCACATAATGGTTTAGGAAATTATTTTTATGAAAGAACACAAAATTTAAGTAATGAGAGAAGAATATACAATACAACAATAATTTAAATGCCAAAAAGATCATTACATTAGCATAAGACGTGAATTCAAAATTATCGAATATTGTCATTTGAACCTGCAAAAATTGATCATTTTTGCAGGTTCTTTATATATATTCCCTTCATATGCTATGGTGCTTCGTCATGACCAGAACATTTTTGTGAATATTGATGTTCCTTTTAAAAGTGCATCATATAATTGTTAGTATGAGAAAAATATGTTTGCCGCATATACAGTTTCAATATTTGTAA